TGAGGACACAACATTCTGTAATGTTTTCACAAGGGGACCTCAACTTAAAGATATTTTGGTAATATGTACACTTAGGAAAGATGGAAAGAAGAGAGGCACAAAGTTTTTTTTACAGTAGAATGACAGATGATTTATTCTCCGCTTTCCTCTCATGTAAAATGTTTGGAAACAGAAAAATATTTTGGCCAAGGTGGCTCACGCCTGTATTCCCAGCGCTTTAGGAGGCCGAGGTGGGCGATCAGTTAAGGTCAGGAGTTCGAAACCAACCTAACCAACATGCCAAAACCCTGTCTCTACGAAAAATACAAAAATTAGCTGGTCGTGGTGGTGGGCGCTTATTAGCCCAGCTACTTGGGAGGCTGAGGCAGGAGAATCGCTTGAACCCGGGAGTCAGAGGTTGCAGTGAGCAGAGACTATGCCATTGCACTCCAGCCTGGCGACAGGGCGAGACTCCGTCTCAACAACAACAACAACAAAAAAATATATATATAATATACATTTAAAATTATTATATGTAGATAGTATTTGAAGTCATGGGACTGACTGTAGGTAGAAACAAGGGAAGGCAAGGAAAATTTTTATATTTATATTTATATATGATTATATAAAATTAATATACATAATTATAATATATAAACATATCATATAGGCTGGGCACAGTGGCTTACACCTGTAATCCCAGCAATTTGGGAGGCCACGGTGGGCAGATCACCTGAGGTCAGGAGTTCGAGACTAGCCTGACAAACATGGAGAAATCCCATCTCTACTAAAGATACAAAAATTAGCCAGGCGTGGTGGTGCGTGTCTGTCATTCCAGCTACTCAGGAGACTGAAGCAGGAAAATCACTTGAATCCGGGAGGTGGAGGTTTCGGTGAGCCCAGATTGTATCATTCCACTCCAGCCTGGGTGACAAGGGTTAAAATCCATCTCAAAATAAATAAATACATAAATAAAACAAGAAATATATATTTATGTCTAAGTATATAATATAATAAATAAATGTGTATATGTATACATTTATTATAAATTTATTAATATATGAAATATGTTTATTTCTGAGCCAGGGTCTGGCTCTGTCACCCAGGCTGGAGTGCAGTGGCACTATCATAGCTCATTGGGGCCTTGAACAGATGGCTCAAGCGATCCTCCTACCTCAGCCTCCTGAGTGGCTAGGATTGCATGCACACACCACCATGTGTAGCTAATTTTCAAATTTTTTGTAGAAACAGGGTCTTCCTTTTTTGCCTAAGCTGGTCTTGAACTCCTGGGCTCAAGTGATCTTCCTGTCTCAGGCTTCCAATGTGTTAGATGTGGGCCACTGCATCTGGTCTAATGCATTTTTTAATTTGCGAGTTTATATTATTTAACATTTTGAAGTACTGAATGTGTTGAACAACCAACTTGCAGAATTCCCGAACAATGGACGGTCAGCTGTCATGTCCTGGTTCAAATCGTCCCAGCACACCACGGCTAGAAACCTTTCAGCCAACTTCCACTTATGTCTCCCGGGGCAGGACAATGTCACTTGGCCAATCCCCACTAAGAGGGACTCTGGAAAGGCAAGAAACTATTCTGTTCTCTATAATGGAATGTGACCAGGAAGAAGGCAGTTGGGAGGGCCAGTTGGGCCCTCTAACCAGCAGCCTCCACCATCGACTACCTTCCCTAGACTATACCACGCTGGGCATTTGGGACAGTTATGAGCAAGAGTTCCCATTTTTCTTCTCATGGGACTTTCATGCTAGTGGCAAGAGACAATTTTTTTTTTTTTTTTTTGAGACAGAGTTTTGTTCTTGTCACTCAGGCTGGAGTGCAATGGTGTCATCTCGGCTCACTGCAACCTCTGCCTCCTGGATTCAAGCAATTCTCCTGCCTCAGCCTTCAGAGTAGCTAAAATTACAGGATTGCACCACCACGTCTAGCTAATTTTTGTATTTTTAGTTGAGATGGGGTTTCACCATGTTGGCCAGGCTGGTCTGGAATTCCTGAGCCACTGCACCCAGTCAAGAGGGAGATTTTAAATCAATAAGTAGAATTGTGATGAATGCCAGAAGGAAGAATGTGTGTGATGGGGAGGACACCTAAGTTATTGTCTCATATTTTAACACTTTCACAGGCAATAACTGGAAACTTAGAAGCTTAAAACAACACACACCTTTAAGCTAATTTTGGCAAGCTAGGAGTTGAGCACATTTTAGCGAGTCCTGTGCTTGGGATCTCACTCTAAGCAGCTGGGCTGCATCCTCATCTGAGGCTCCACCAGGGCAGAATCCATTTCCAGGTCCGCCGAGGTTATTGGCAGAATTCATTTGCTCGGACCCGCTTGGCAAGGGCCTAGCTTTTTGCTTCCTTGCCTACGGGGCCCCTCTAAAGGTCCTTTCTCAGCAGAGCATCTCCCTCCTGGAGCGCCTGCAGGTGGAACCTTTCTCTCTAGTGTGCGAAGGTGATGCACTGTGACAGTGACATCCCATTGCTTTTGCCAGGCTCTATGGGTTAGAAGCCAGTCACCGGTTTTGCTCATACCCAAGGTCAGGAAGACTATGCAAGGGCATAGGTCATTGGGGGGTCAGTCACTTAAGGGTGTGGCTGCCACCACTGAACTTGGTGAGACTTTAAGGGCTGGTAGGAGCTGGCCAGGTACAGGGGTGAGGGTGTGTCAGGCAGGGGTGAGGGCATGGAAGGGGATGCAGAGGCCTGCACCCTGGAATGTCCTTTCACTCCCTGAGGTTTTGTTCTCCTTATCCCTGAGTACATCCCAGAACACGGTGGGGCCCTAGCAGGGGAGAGGTAGGGAAGCCTGTGTTGTTCATCTGGGGATATTTTTAGGCAAATCAGATTAGGGGCCAGGCTTTCTGTGACGGGTGCGAGCATCGGAGTGATGAGTGTGCAGGTGTGTGTGGGAAGAGCGATGGGGATGGGGTCAGCCCCAGCCACCATGAAGACCTTAACTGTGCATCCGCCCATCCCAGCAGCCTCCCTGAGTGAGTGCATTCAGGGTGCAGGTCCTGTTTTACACATGGAAGTGAATCAGAGTGGGACACTGCCTTGCCTTAGAGAGGTCACACTTCTCCTACTTCTTCTTCTTCTTCGTTTTTTTTTTTCTTTAAATTTGCAACAGAGTCTCACTCTGTTGCCCAGCCTGGAATGCAGTGCTGTGATGGTGGCTCACTGCCACCTCTGCCTCCCAGGTTCAAGCAATTTTTCTGCCTCAGCCTCCTGGGTAGGGGAGCTGGGACCATAGGCACGCATTACCATGCCTGGCTAATCGTTGTATTTTAGTTTCACCATATTGACCAGGCTGGTCCCAGTCTCCTGGCCTCAAGCGATCTGCCCACCTCAGCCTCCCAAAGTGCTGTGACCACAGGCGTAAGCCACCACAGTGGGAGAGAGGTCACACTTCATGCCAAGTGGGTGGCAGTGACTGAGACAGCACCCCAGCTGGTGCTGGAAGTGAGGGGTGCTCAGTGTCCTAGGAAGGCAGAGGGCTGCATGAGAGGTTTGGGGAGGAAGGACTGGAGGAGGATTTGAGATTTTCACCTGAGCAGCTGGGTGGATAGAGGGGCTGTTTACAGACAATCACAAGAATGTAGATGAGCAGGTTAGGGCACTAATAAAGCACTCTGTTTTGGCCCACGGAAAATTTGAGATGCTTCCCTGTGTCCAGCTGGGGCTTTGGGAAAGGTCAGGGCTGGGCATCTGACTGGGATGGATGTCTCTAGCAGGCAGCAGAGCATGTGGATGGTTTGTGAAGCCCGGAAAGGCATCAGATTTCCTGTGGCAGTGCCCACTGCAAATGGAAGGGCATTTGGCCTGAGCCCAGATAAACACAAGTTTGGCAGAGCAGCTATGGAGGTACAGGAAAACCAAGGGTGTGGGGGCAGATGAAGCAGGAAGCTCAAATAAGATGAGGAAAGAGGTTTTAAAGATAATCAGGGCTGGGGACAGTGGTTCATGCCTGTAATCCCAACACTTTGGGAGGCTGAGATGAGAGGATAGCTTGAGGCCAGGAGTTTGAGACCAGCCTGGACAACATAGGGAGACCCCATTTCTATAAATAAATAAATACCATTGGTACTTGGCATTTCAGGTGGGGAACAGCAAACACATGAAAGCTCTGAGGCAGGAAAGGGAAGTGATTAGTGCTCGCTCCTGGTTCCTTTATCAGACCTTAAAGAGATGCAGAGACATTTCAGGTACTCCTTGGCCGAGCTCCTTCAGGGAAGGTCTAAGTTCGCTTCTACTTCCCATCTATTAATTTTTTTTTTTTTTTTTTGGAGACAGAGTCTCACTCTGTCGCCCAGGCTGGAGCGCATGCAGTGGCACCATCTCAGCTCACTGCAACCTCCACCTCCCGGGTTCAAACGATTCTCCTGCCTCAGCCTTCCCAGTCGCTGGGATCACAGGTACGCGCCACCACGATCGGCTAAGTTTTTGTATTTTTAGCAGAGATGGGGTTTCATCTTGTTGGCCAGGCTGATTTCGAACTCCTGGCCTCAAGTGATCCACCTGCCTCGGCCCCACAAAGTGCTGGGATTACAGGCGGGAGCCACCGCGCCCGGCCCTACTTCACTCCTAACGCCCAGCATACGTGCTTCCAAATGTGTGCTGAATGACAAGGTGAACGAGTGAATGGGACTACGTGACTTCGGGCAGCAGGCAATCCTATTCCTTGGACCTCAGTTTCACTTTTTGTAAAGCAAGCCTGTCTCTCGCTCTCTGCCCTAAAAGCCTGAGTTCTGGGCTTGAGATGAGCGCGTCCTGTAGACCAGACTGCAGTGGACGTTGAGCTGGGTGTTCTAGGAGGCCAGAATCCGGCCAGCTCTTGGGTTCGGTCCTCCCGCGGGATCCGGTACGCCCAGTCCCAGCGCCGCCCCGCCCAACCTCCATTTGCTCCCCCAATCCCCGCCCTCTCAGCGCGGCTCGCTCTCCATTGGCCGGGGGTCGGGCCCTGGGCGCCCAGCTCCGCTGGGGGCGGGGCGGCGGGCGGCGGGCGGGGCCGTGTGCATCTGCAGGGTGTGTGTCCCGGTCGCAGTCCCGCGCCAGCTGCAGCTCCTTGATCCGAGCCGGATCCTGAGCGGGAAACACGGGCTGAAGCGGCGGCGGCGGCCCCGCCCCGGGACTCCATTGTTGAGGCTGCCTCGGCTCTGTTGGCTGCTCAGCTGCGCTCCAATCACCCCAAGCGCCGCGGCGAGGAGCGAGTGCTGCGAGCCGGTGGCCTGAGGTGAGACCGGGCGACGGGGTCTCCGGAACGGGCGGGGGTCTCTGCCCCGGGTGTGGCGCCTCTGAGCTGGGTTCCGCAGGGTTCGAGGTCGGGATCTGAGGTTCCTGCGCCTGGGCTTTGTCTCGGCCTCGGGTGGCACCGGGGGCTTCGCGCCTGCTGCGATACCGCTTGGGCCCGCGCGGGGGTCCCGGTCGCCCTGCGGGTGGGGGCCGGTCCCCACTGCTCCCCGGCTCCCCGCGTCTGCCGCGGAGGGGACTGCATGGACCCGGGCGCTGGCTTCTGAGCCGAGATGGCGTCACTGCACTGTAGCGTGGGCGACCGAGTGAAACTCCGTCTCAAAAAAAAAAAAAAAAAAAAAAACCAAAAAAACCCTGGTACAGTATTTTACCCAGACTAGGTACGTGTAGTAGAGCCGAATGAAAGCTTAGAAAAAGATGACTTGAGAACTAGCCCAGCAGAGGAATCAGGTGGGATGTGTTGCTACTGAGTAAGTGAAATTTGCACCTGCTTTCTCCCAGGCCTCGTTGAGTTGTGTACAACAGAGAGCTCAGGTGTTGGGGGCAGTTGACCGGTTGAAGAATGCATTGCTATTATGTGAGGAACATTGGGCTTTGAAAAAGCAGAACTGGATCCACGTTCTTGCCTGGTAACTCTAACTATCATCTAGTTTGTAAAGGGGAATGCAGTTCACTGAAAAATTCTTATGACAGTGGGGAAAGGATTGGGGCGTCTGCATTGGTTTGTGTAATATAGGTCATATGAAAGAGCATTTAGGCTGGAGGGAGGCTTTTCATCTCTATAACTTTACTTTCACAGGACAATTCCATCATGATTTGAAGATTTTGGAGTCAAAACTACATTATTCTGCTATGTGTTTTGGGGCAAATTTATACATACAATTTGCTTAAATATTTCAGATGATACAAGAATGTATGTGTGGGGTAAAAAGCTGAAATTTGCATTCCCCCTTCTCTAGAAGTAGCCATTGTGAATAGTTAAGTCTGTATTCCAGCTATTTTGTATACTATAAATACACTGTGAACATTTGAGTGTATATAGACATGTATGTTACACACAGTTTTAGAGATGGAATATTGCTCTGTTGCCCATGCTAGTCTCAAACTCCTGGGCTCAAGTCACCCTCTCGCCTCAGCCTCCCAGAGTTTTGGAATTACAGGCATGAGCCACCGCGCCTGACCTGCATGAGTATATTTACTAATTGCTAAGTTACTCTGTTCAATATGTGTTTATTGAACTCCCCCATGTGCCAAGCATTGTTCTGAATACCTTATATGCACTAATTCGCTTAATTTTTAGAGCAGCTCTATTATTGTGGCCCTTTTACAGTGAGGAACCTGAACCACAGAGAGGCTGGGGACGTTGTCTAACATCACACAGCCAGTGCTGTTGGAATTCAGGTTTGAACCCAGACAGCTGGCTTCAGATCTCTTAGCTGGTATCATAGATGGCACACCCAAACCTTAGGGCCGCCTCCCAAGCCTTGCCTCTGATATGAGCTTGCCTGAGCTCTGCGAGAGCCGTGTATGTGAGGTTTCTTTCCTCTTTAAGAACACAAGTCTTGAAATTGTCCCAGACCCTGGTAGGACCTCTTGAGGACCAAAAACAGGGATTCTTCAAGCCTGCCCCAAGGGCCAGATCTCTGATTTAGCTACTTGGAAGGTAGACGTGGAAGAGAGTAATTTTGCCAGAACAAAGTCAGGATGGCTGGGCTGACTCGGCCAGATGCAGTGGCTTATGCCTGTAATCCCAGCACTTTGAGAGGCCGAGGCAGGTGGATCACCTGAGGTCGGGAGGTCGAGAGCAGCCTGACCAACAAGTTGAAACTCCGTCTCTACTAAAAATATGAAAATTAGCTGGGCGTGGTGGTGCGTGCCTGTAATCCCAGGTACTTGGGAGGCTGAGGCAGGAGAATTGCTTGAACCCGGTTGGTAGAGGTGGCAGAGAGCTAATATTACGCCACTGCACTCCAGCTTGTGTGACAGAGTGAGACTCCATCTCAAAAAAAAAAAAAAAAAAAGAAGAATGGGGAAGGGGAATGGCTGGGCTGACTCATAGGGAAGAGGCCCTACAGCAGCCGTAGGACCTTGGCCACTTGGGTGGAAAAGAAGGAAGGAAGAGCTTCACCCATGGCGGTGACCTAGACTGCAGAAACCACACTAAACATCCACATCCTGGAGCCTGGCCACCCCATTTGCTTCTCTTCTCCTTGGGTAGAGGGTGTGGGGAGCTTTCTACCCTGGAGGCTGAGCAGCGCGGCTTCTAACCAGGGTAGGCGTTGGTCTGTCCCTGGGAATACAGACAGCATTCTCATAAGCAGCCCAAATACTCCTGAACAGCTTTTTGTAGGGTGGGGCGGGGCGGGGCAGAGGGTGATTTTGACTCATAGGTACCTTTTCCACTTTCACTGCTGATAACTGTGTTACAGATTAAAGTTTTGTTTTTGATACTGAAGAGGGCTTAAGAGAGTGAGCTATTATGGCACATCTAAGTCTGCTAAAATAGAACCACGGGGTAGTGTAGGAAAATCTCTTCTAAATTATGGATGATATATGGTGAACGTTAGAAGCCATGTGTACCTAAGTTGAAAAATCAAAACATGTCTTGTATTTGGGTGACCCCGGTAAGTCTGGATGCCACTGCGCCTTGTGTGAACACAGGATGCTGAGGTGTAGGGATCAACAGGCTTTTTCTGGACGTCTTGCGCTTCTCCCTTGGGGTAAAGTGGGGTGGCAGTAGGAGCGCACAGCTGTTGGGCCCCTGATATTTGTCAGCTGGTTTACATGTGTGATTCCGTTTAATGCAATCTTGGAGGGAAAACTATTTTATTGAAGAAGAAGATAGAGGCTTAGAGAAGTTAAGAAAATTGTTCAAGGTCACGTCATTTGTTTTGTTTTGTTTTGAGACAGAGTTTTGCTCTTATTGCGCAGGCTGGAGTGCAATGGCGTGATCTCGGCTCACCACAACCTCTGCTTCCCAGGTTCAAGTGATTCTCCTGCCTCAGCCTCCAGAGTATCTGGGATGTCAGGCATGTGCCACCACGCCAGGCTGATTTTGTATTTTTTTTTTTTTTTTGAGACGGAGTCTTGCTCTGTGGCCCAGGCTGGAGTGCAGTGGCCAGATCTCAGCTCACTGCAAGCTCTGCCTCCCGGGTTCACACCATTCTCCTGCCTCAGCCTCCCGAGTAGCTGGGACTACAGGCGCCCGCCACCTCGCCCGGCTAGTTTTTTGTATTTTTTAGTAGAGACGGGGTTTCACCGTGTTAGCCAGGATGGTCTCGATCTCCTGACCTCGTGATCCACCTGTTTCGGCCTCCCAAAGTGCTGGGATTACAGGCTTGAGCCACCGCGCCCTGCCTGATTTTGTATTTTTAGTAGGGATGGGGTTTTTCCATGTTGGTTAGGCTGGCCTTGAACTCCCATCCTTGGGTGATCCATCCAACTTGGCCTCCTCAAGTGTTGGGATTACAGGTGTGAGCCACCACGCCTGGCCAAGGCCATGTAATTTCTTAAGTGGAAAGATGAAGTATTTGATGAACTCAGAAGTTTGACTTCAAGGCCCTTCATCTTTCCATAACACGTGGTTCCTTCCCTGGTTTGTGGGGAGTGACTGAAGAACTCAAGGAAGCTGTGTTTTGTGGAAAGAGGACCTGAGGGGTGTATGGTCTTTCCAGGCTTGGAATCTGCCATGCTGGGCTTCTGAATTGTATAGTTGGCCATATAGAGAGAAGCCCCTCATTTAAGACTTATTCTTTGGGGGAAATAAAGGAAGGCCACCCGCATGAGACAGGCAGAGGCGACTTTCTCAGAGCTGCTGTGGCAAGGGAGTGGGCACCGTCACTTGCGTGTGGCAGAGACTGACATGCAAGTGAGTGGCGGATGAGGAGTGGGGAAACTTCAGGATGGAAAAGAACGGCTCCCATTGGAGGCTGTTGTGGGGGCTGGAGGCAGCTGTGCAGAAGTGGGGTGTCCTATATGATTGGTTAGGGGCATATTTGGCTTTCTCTGGATTATCCTAACTGGAAACAGGGGCCAAAATTAGGGTGGCTGTCAGTTTTGAGTCAAGTCCTGGCCACGTGGGACAGAGTTGTGGTTTAGTTTCTGGGTTGTGGAGAGAGAGCAGTCTGGCTTCCTGTCTGATGTGCTAGCCTGGCTGGCCTCCTGGCTGTTGACTGTAGATAGGGGATTGGTTTCCTGGGTGGGCAGCTACAGGTTGTGGTCTGAGTTCTGTCTTTATACATATGATCAGGCATGGTCTGTTTGTATATTCAGTCCCGCATTCTTCTTGTCAGTAAAAATATCAAATGACAAATTGGATACATTGGGAAGTTTTTAGATGTCTGTGTCCCCTGGAGGAAGTTTTCACGTTCACATTTAATCAGAATGAATATAAACAATTGGGCCATTGATCTTGAAGATTTAAAATAGGAAATCCTCAACAATACTACCTCGGCGCCATTGCCTCTCTGTCCACCGTTAGGGAATGTGTTTTCATCCACCGCCGGCTCATCGTCCACCAGTTTTGTGGTTGATCCAGTTCTCTATACGTCTTGTCTTGTGTGCATCTCATTGTTTGCTAGTGTTAGCTTTCCCCTTCGTCAGTGTAGTTTATTTGTGTAGCATCTGTTGGTAGGAAGTTATTTGTGGAATTTGTGAATGGAAGGGACCTTGGAGGTCTGCTAGGTCAGCCCAGTGATTTTCAAGATAAACGGAAATACAGGGAAATGTTCCATCTTTTTTGGTGGCAAAACCAGGAATAGAAAGCAGTGTCCTTTGTGCCACAATGTCATTGGAAGACAGCTCAATGCGGGCCTAAAATGCAGAGTAACTAACTTTCATTTATCTCTGCTTCTGACTCTTGTTATCAGATATTTTGAATTGACCTTAATGTGTTAGCAGAAATATGAAAAGTCCTGACTTGCTTACGTATAAGGTACTTTGTCGCCTACTCATTTGGTTGTTTTTTTCAACAGGATTGAAAAG